CTTCTTCCTCAATGTCTTCCTGTTCCTCCTTGTTTTCCTCTTCCTCCACTTGCTTGGCATTTTTAGGGCTGCTTTGCTCCTTCTGTTGAATACTTTCTTCAGATTCACAGTTAGCATTAGATGGCTGTAGGTTCTGATGTAAGGTATCCGATGTGAATGGACTTCTCTCATTGGAGGTAGAACTTCTGCTTGCCTTTGCTGTGACATTCTCCTTATTCTGAATATGAATGGAAGAGGCCTGCTGAAGCTTGTCCTGCTCCTCCTGTGGCAAAATCTTTCCCATGGTTTTGTAGACTCTAAATAAATGGAGTGATGGAGTAGGAAAATGTTAATGTCTCAAAGCCCAACACTCTGGGGGGTTGAACTTGTTCTCTGATTTTCACCCCTGCCTCTGAAAAGCAGGACAACAGAGCAGAGAGAATGCAAAAGCCAAGAGGACCTAGTATACTGAACCAGCTCTCTGGTACATCTCTAGACTTTACTTCTATTTCTGTTAGAATGAAATCAATAAGAAAATCTAATTTCTAGAGTTCTTGGGAGGAAGAAAGAAAGCTCACAGAGAATGACAGGCAGAGTGCCTGGAGCACAGTGGCAGGCAATAAAAGATAGCTACAAGTCTGTATTGAAACACTACATAAATATACAAAGTAGCCAACAGACATGCAGGGCTGGAAAGCGGAATGGGAGAATCTAGTCTCTTATGGCCTTAATTGAGGAATCTGTCCTGAGGGCCAAGAATATAGTGGGCAGTGGGCTGGTTTCCTGTGCATGGAACACAATGTGTGATTCCTTATGAAAACAGCTACAGCCAAGCCTGAAAGGGAGGGAAAGAAAGAAAACAAAAGCAGTTGACTAGACAAAGCAGATGTGGAATGGAGATCTGATAAGCACTGTTAATTGACTGTGTGTGCTATGGAGCTGAGGGGAAGCAGAGAGCACAAGGAGGGAGCAGAGATTGGGGAAGGGCTTCATGTAGGTGAGGCCCAGGTGGCCCAAGAGCAACAGGGAGCCCACTGCCTATGATCACAGTAGTATGGCTGGAGGGCAAGGCCCCTGCTGGTGAGCTGTAGGGAAAAAAGAAGGCTGGGAAGGGGAGTGTGTCCATTATGGGGCAGGACACTTGACAACTCTGAGGACAGGTCAAAGTTGTGATTTCTGAAGATCCTCATGTTAATCACATGGAGGATGTCCAGGATAGGGCAGCAGAAGCAGGAAGACCACAATTCAAAACAGTTGGTTAGAGGGTACTGTTGGGAGACATGGAAGGAAGGAAGCTGCAGAGGACAGAAACATAAAAACAAATGCAGCTTGGTGACAGATGGGAAAGGTTGAACAGAGGATTGAACAAGAAGACACTCTGCACATAAAAGACTAAAAGTGCAAGGGGCACGGTGGAGATGAGGGAGGGAGGGACTGAGAGGGAATGAGGGATCGGGACACGGCTGGGATACAGAGGTAATGTAATGTAACTGATAAGAAAAAAATAAAATTAAGAAAAAAAGACTAAAAGAAGGTGCTAGAAACAAGGCCACTGACAGCTCGAGAGCTTCTGGGGAGGAAGAGGGTGAGCACGCTCCACAGAGCCTGGCCCCTAAGAGGAAGCTGGCACTGTGGGGCACACAGCAGGATGGAGAGATGGAGCACATCTTTCTACAAATGCAGAGTGTGAACTATGCATGCTTTGCAGAGGGAGCACAAACAGTGCATGCAGACTGGTCACATGTGGATGGCTGCTGCTCTTTGGGAACAGAGCTGGGATCTAGTGATTAGATGGGCAGTCCCTGCTGGAAGGAGTCATTTCATACTCCAAGAGGACACTGGTTCAAACTGAATTGATCACCTCTCTGGGGTGAGAACATGAAATGCTTACAACTTTATGTGAGGAAAAGCTAGGAAGAAATCCTACCCTCTCACTGATGTCCATTAGCATGATTAATAATAAATATCCCCAGGCATTTGACGCTGGCAAAACGCCTTATCACTGCCGCTTTTTACCCATCTGCTTTCCCCAGCTTCCAGGTCGCCTATTAGGTGCTATGATGACCTCCCTCATGAGAATGCCTGTCACAGCCTGGGACTAAGGTCACTGGTTTAGCCTGGTGGAAAGAAAGTGGAGTTTAGACACACAGACCTTATGCCCAGATTCTCCTCCCATTATCAGCAAACCACTGTGATTCTAAGGTATGCCAATCCTCAGTCCCTAGGATTCTTATCTGTAAAAGTGTATTCTACTACCACCTCTCAAGATTTCAGTGTCAAAGTAAAGGAAATACCTTATTTTAAAAAAGCATAATGCCTGATTTTTTTTTCATCTGGAAAAAAAATTAACAGTTCAGTATTCACAAGGTAAGAGAGGCTTTCTGCCATAATTCAATCTATGTGGAACATTATGGAAAAGCCCAGGCTTTTCCAGGGATTCCTGGCCATATCTGACATGCAGCACAACCCCTCTATTTTCCACTCTGTAAAATGGGTGATTTGATCTAAATTCATTGATTACTTGAGAAAGGGAGGATCTGTGCACAAGGAATCGGATCCAAGTGAGCCACTGTTACTGATGCTATGTAGTACATCCCTCTGATAGACTTGAGTTGGGAGAAGATCTCTGTGGTCCAGACTTTTCCCAGACCAGCAGCTTCCATTCCGCAGGCATTTAGGATTGGAAAGTACCTTGAAGGCCATCTAATCAAACCTCACCCTGCTGTTCTTTTCACTCCCTCCCTGAAATACATAGACATCCTACATTCCTTCTACACTTTGAATCTTCTTGATTTTTCTGTCCATGAAATGCTCAGATGCTTCTGCTTTGATACTCTAGCCTGATTCCTACAGAAACTGCTAGTTTGCTTCCCAGTTTCTTATTCATGGCACTCATAGGCCAGAGCTCACATATCTGGCAACGTGGCTGTACAGCTAGGTCCCATCTCCTGGAGCTGTTGCCTTGGCTGAACTTGTCTGGAAGGCTAAAGGTTTATTTTATAAGTATCACTATAGCCCAGATGCAACTAAGAGTTCAAGAAAGTCTTTTGGATCAAATGGACGGATCACAAAACTAACAGTGTCTTGGCATCCAGTCCCCCACTTCACTCATACCCTAGACATTGGGTCTTCTACTACCAACACAAGTACTGCTGGTAAACAGATAGCAGAGGATATTTCATTCAGTCCAAAGGCACTTATTAAGGCCTGTTTGGTTCCTTGATTTGTGTGATGTTCCGGAGTTCCAATAGCTATTGCTAAGCTCTTGCCCTTGCAAAGCTTAGTCTAGGAGAGGGAAGGAGACAAGTGTGTGTTTGTGGGGGCGAGACACAAATCTAAAATTTGCGAAATATCAGGAGTCACCAGGAGACAGTAGGCTGTGCTACCACCAAGTGAGATCTGTAATAGTCAAGGAAGATCGCTCTGGAGTTGGACTGCCTATCCAAAAGCAGATGTTAATCATGCAGTTGAGTAGTGGAATCTGAATTATAGAGGAAAGGACTGGACTAAGATGTGGGCTGAGCAGTTTATACAGACCAGAAATAAGCACTGGCATTTTTAGGAGGTATGTCATCCAGCATTAACGTAGCAGATGAAGGGATTAACAAAGAGTCCTGGTTTGGATAATTAGGTCAACGCAGCTTTAGGACTGAGTACCAACCAAATTGCAGCAGGTTCAGGAGGAAAAAGAGGAGTGAGAATAATTAAGATGAGAACCACTTTTGGGGAGTTGGAAAAATAAAGGTGCCATCAAAAATATACATGGTCATTGCAACACAGATTTGCTTGGGCTGTTAAGAGGAAACAAAGAAACAAACAAATAAACAAAAACCTCTGACACATTACTAAAGGGTAATAACCACCTAAACAAAAGAGAGAATGAGGTGAGGCTCTAACAATGCTGGCAGAATTGGTTCCAGAGCAGACGGAACAGACTTTGATGCAGGGCGAGGCCACCTCAAACAGATTGATGGTGTTGACAGTAAATACAGATCAGCTCAAGAAGGCTAAACAATTGGTTGAGGGAGTCCTGGTAGGTGCCTTCAGGTACTGGAATAAGCTGGGGTAAAATGGGAAAGCAAGAGGGACATGCGGTCAATGGTGTGTGTTTAGAATAGTCTAGGACTGGAGACAAAGTAGTCAGTAAACAAATGGTCAGACAGTATTGAGGCCTGGCATGAGATTAAACCTTGTGAAGCTACAGTGGCAGCAAAGAGTACTGCTAAGTGGTTTTCTCAGGGAGAACTCAGATACCTAGGCTGGAGAATGAAAGAAACAGAACAAGGAAATCAACCCCAGCTTGAGAGTTTGCAAGTCAGACACTGTCAAAGGATTAGTTACTAGAGCAGAAGGTGCTAAGGATGAGAGAAGTGATTAACTACAGGTCAGGGTGAGGAAGCAAGAGGAAATAAAGAAATAAAAAAGGAAGGAAGGAAGATAGGATGAAGGAAGAAAAAAGGAAGCAGGGAAGAAAGCAAGAAAGGAAGGGATGGAGACTGTGACACAGGTAAAAAGTGGTGTCATGAATAGTCCTTGGTTGGAGTATGAGTCTCTGGGAAGTTCCCTGTGTTCAAATTTCTTGTTCTGTTGCTCTCCTTGTGGAGTTCCTGTCCTCTCCAGCTCTTACTATTTCCCACTTCTTACATAAAATTTCATTCACTCTGACTGACAGTTGGTCATCAGGCTCAGCATCTGCTTTGATAGTCTACAGGGCAGAGGCTTTCAGAGGTCCTCTGTGGTGCTATTCATGGAGATGACCTAGAACCCCTTCACAGTTGTAGCACATGGCAGTTCAGTGTCCAAGTCGGTTACCTAGTAATGGGAAGAGGGACTGCCTCTGACATAATCTGATTGGCCTGCTCTTTGATCACATCTCCCTGAGGGGGGAGAAGCCTTACCAGGCCACAGAAGAGGACAATGCAGCCACGTTTGATGAGAACTGATAGACATAAGATCAGAAAGGAGAGGAGAATCTCCCCTATCATTGGACTTGGGGAGGGGCATGCATGCAGAAAGGGGAGGGAGGGTGGGACCCGGAGTGGAGGAGGGAGGGGCTTATGGGGGGATACAAAATTAATAAAGTGTAATTAATAAAAAATAAAAAAAGTTTTAAAAAAAGTGGTGTCATGGTAAAGGAAGGTGAAAAACAAAAGGACAAGACACGACAGTCGCCAAGTAGAAAACTAGGATGTCAGCTTTCAGAGGAACGCTCTGAGTAATGAAAATATGCTGCTTTATACAGTGGAGAATAAAAAGCTCTGGAGTGGAGCAAACGCAGAGGTTAAATGAGTTGCTCTAATGAAACAAATACTGCTCTAGAAAGTAGGAAGAGAATCAGGCACTAAAGGAGAATGAGGCAAGTAGCTTAGGGCCAGGAACTGACAGAGAAAGGGGGAAAGAAGACATGTGTATTCATAGGAATCAAAACAACACTCTAATTGACCACAAAACCTAAAGAGAACAGAGTAAAGGGGGCTCCCAAGAAATATGGCTACCATGACAGGTACCTCCACTGAATGTCAGGTTAAAACTTCACTTTTCATAGATGGCATTGGGGATTGTTGAGTACACTATCAGAGGTATACTTTGGGAAGCAAAGAGAGGAGACAGCACTGGGCTTGGAGCCAGAAGATCTAGGTTCAATAATAAACACGAGCTACCATTTATTGTGCACTTACTCTGGGCAGGACTCTATGCTAAGCATTCTCACACTGGACTCCATTTAACCAAATCTTAAATTGATGACCATAAAAGTAGCAGCACCCTAACCCCTCCCCTTTCCAGATTCAGTTCTCCCATCTGTTACTGCAAGGGATACTGAGTAAGACATCACCAAAAGAGACCTCCAAGTCAGACAGTATAGAGCTGAGAGGCCCTGAGACTTCCAGGGCCATACCCTCTCACCAAATGGAATTAAGGCTTACAGCTGAAGGAGTTGTCGTGTGGCCCAGCACGGTGAGCCCAAACAAGACTCAATCACTTGGGGCCAGTCAAGAGAGGCAGAACAGTTGAAGAGTCTCCAGTTCTTTCTTGCTTTCCACTGGCTTGCAGACAAGCACCGAGCATGACGTCCTGAAAGAAAACAAAGACGCTTAAGAGAAAGAACCATGTGAGCCCTCCCCCCCCAGTCTTTGACCTCAAAAATTAGGCTCAATCCCTTCATCCCCCAAATCTTCACCCTGTAATTTTTAACTGCTCAAAGCACTGAATGCTCCATTTACGTGGCTCTGAGCAAAAGGACGAGGGAGATGTCCACTGATTCCTGCAGTTCACTTTTGGGCAACTTTAAAATTTTATGTTTTCTTGAGACAGGGTTTCTCTGTGTAACAACCCCTTGCTGTTCTGGACTCACTTTGTAGAACAGTCAGTCCTCAAAATTATAGAGATCTGCCTGCCTCTGCCTCCCGAGTGATGGGATAAAAGGCATGCACCCATGTGCCCGGCTAACTTTAAACTTTTAACTAGGAAGCTGTCCACATGATGGTACTTTATAGAAGCGCTGAGGAAACACACTGGAAGATGCTTCTGCTTGTGATGCCAGGGCCCTGGGACTAGGGCTCGTTTTCCTCACCGATCTTAGTGTTGGCCACGATCAGTTCAACGGTCCATCTAAGGATGTAGGTAGGCCGGATCCCAGTGTTCTCCAGGGTAGACAACTCAGAGAACAACCTCTCCAGAAGGGCCTGTGTGAAGGTCTGGGTGTGCAGGCCCCTGAGCAGGGGCTGCCAGAACTGAGAGAATGGCGTTGGCACCAAGACTTCATTCAAGTCATTGTTTTCTGGTTCGTGAGAGACATCCGTTGATGGGAAGGAAGGGCAATGGGATCAAGAGCAAGAGAATGAGAGACCACAAAAGCAAGCCAGCCAGAGGGAGTGGAAGGAAACAAATTGTAAAAAATGCACACCAAAGAGAAAGTACAGACACACCCGAGTCCGAACAACAAGAATTGCCATTGCACAACAAGAGGGAAGGAAAGCAGAACAGCAGGGAAAGAGAAACCAGTTAGTATCTGGCAAACAATAACAGATATAAAAGCAAGTATAAAAACAAAAACAAAGACAAACTCGTTTCTGACTTCAGCTTTGTCAATAACTCACTGTGTGAATTTGGTTCAGTAACTTCCCCTTTCTGCACCTCAGTCTGACCATCTGTAACATGAGGATATTGGAGTAGATGACCTCTCAAAGCCATTTCAATGCTGCTGTTCTGGCTCTCTAGCTAGGGGCTAAATCATATTTAACAAGGCACAAAGACAATGTTAAGAAACCCAACCCTACCCTTCCAACCCACTTTAAACTTTTAAGGCCACCTAAGGAAAGACCCAGTACTACCCATAATAGGACTATCTGTCCTGTTCAGCCAAAAGGACTGAGGTTTCAGCCCCACCTCACCCCAATCTCCAGACCATTTCTGGAGTTCCCATACAAGAAGCACAGAACCCTAAGGTTTCAATGAAAACTCGGAACCCTACCTTCATACTCTATCTGCAAAGCTACCAACTGCTCAAAAGTGGGAATGAGGAAGCCATCATCCAGAAAATTATCCAGCAAAGCATCCCTGAAGCAAATGGACAGTAATTTAGAGGGGCATGGTTGCACATGCCTACAGTCCCAGCTACTCAGGAGACTCATGAGGCTGAGGGGAGAGCATCATCAAGTTCAGAAAGACCCTGGGAAATACAGCAAAACTGAGTCTCAAAAGAAAAAAAAAGTGATCTTTCCAAATACACTGGGATGATTCACTAGATATTTAAAGTTGAAATTACTTAGAGGGCTGGTCTATGACTATAGCTCTATGATACAAGACTTAATGTAATCTAAATAAGAGCCAGGGCTCGATTCCCAGTACCAAGAAGAAAGACAGAAAGGCACACTAGCAGGCAAACTGATAAAAGGCACCAATTCCTACAACACTCCTAAAACACAGCTAATATCACTGTTCAAATGTCCAAACTACCAGTGGGAGAGACTAGAGATTAAGGAGATAACAGGAGTCATTAGTTGTTAGGCTCCTGGGACAGGGACTGAGCCCAAATTTGGGCATAGTGGGCTAGGAACACTCAAGAACTAAGCACATGGTGATGAAGGTCCCATACATGAGAGTGGTGGTGACTGAATAACTCAACTCAGAGAATAAAAGTCTTAGGCTGACAGAAGAAATTAAATGCCTGGGATCAACAAGTGCTTTTGGACCTCAGTTTCCACAATGTTTTTGTTTCTCCTGCCCATTTCTCTGTCATCTAGACATTCCCTTCACACTGGCTACCTTCTTTTAGATCCTAGAAGTAGAAATGTTAAGTATTCCACTGCTAGTCCAAATAGGACACAGACGTTCTTACAGAGAATCAAGATCAAAGTTAGAGGGACTGAAAACACCAGCAATAGGGGAGATTTCTCAACTCCATCTAGCTCAAACCTAAGCCAACAGCAGCAGGCACTCCAGAGCTACTGGCTTGCTTACAGCCTCTCCCAGCTGACTAGGTCTAGGAGGAGTCAACGAGCTTTCAAGATGTCCCAGTATCAAGAGGGATGACAACACATCAGCTCCTTCTATCCACCAGATCAGGCTTAAGAGCACAACAGTCCTGCCACCCACCAATCGCTCATTTCCTCAGTTAAGGATCCTAGAATTTAAAGTAGCCCACCAGCTCCGCACAAAGAGGCCAATACCGCTATGTAGGGCACAGGGGTAATTTTTCCCACCTGCTGGGGAAGCTGTCCCTCAGACTTGTGCTGAAGGGGAGAGCTAAGAAGTCTAGAATGGGCAAACTCTAATGAAATTCCTTTGGAACTGAGCATGGTGGGGTACACGTATTTAATCCAAGCACTCAGAAGGCAGAGGCACAGAAATCTCTGAGTTCCAAGGCTGCCTGATCTACACACCTGGAGCTATACTGGGAGACTCTGTCTCAAAAACAAAACAAACAACCCATAACAGTGCAATCAACCTTGGAAGTATTCTTCTGGGAATAGAGACAATACAACCAGAAGAACACGTGGCAAGCTTCCATCCACACTCACCTACATCAAATTTAGTATAGATTCTTTTCAACTCTCCATCTTAGATCTCTTTTCACTTTCCTTCATAGAAGAGCCAGCAATGTCTCCATAGTTTCTTCTTTCTTTCTTTTTTTTTTTTTTCTGTTCTGTATTTTCTTACTTCCCTTTTTGGAACTAGATTAAAACCAATGCCTGTTGCATACTAGGCAACTGCTCTACCTCTAAACCAAACCACATAGCCAGCCTTTCTCCACAGGTTGTTGGTAGCAAGTTCTCCAAAGCCCTTTCCAACCAAATTTAGGCAGAATACACAAAAGCAATACTTCGTTTTAACCTACCCTGGCTGAACTGAGGACTTTTTTGTGGGCAGGGAGACACACAGCCATACTGAGAAGGGAACTTACCCTGAGAGGCCTTTCCTCCGTCTGCCTAGCCATAACTACCCAAGAGATATGATATCCTCCAAGAGCTATTTGAAGGAACAGACTAGCAGTACTCCAAGACTAGGCAGTGAAGTGAACAGATATCAAAGTCTCTTTTTTTTGTAATTGACAAGACTGCCACATTCCATGAGATAGAGGGAAAAGGTTACCAGAGGATGCATGAGTACACACATTCTTAACTCTGACTATTCCAGTAACTCACCATAAGCGACATGGTACCTAGAAGGGTGGGAGGCAGATCATACAGAAGATGTAATCACCATTTGAGGGAGAAGGATTACCTTTAGGATTTCCTACAACACAGATCAGCTACCTAGAATACAACAACTGCATTCTCTAAAAACTGAATTCAGGTCATTGTGCATGCTAGGCAAGCATGACAATGCTGAATTGTAATCCCAACCAGTTTTCTCCACCACCCCCAGCCCAGCCTATTATTTTGAGAGAGAGGGACTCACTAAATTGCACAGACTGACTTTGAACACATTCTGCAGCCCAGGCTATGAATTGGCAATCTGCCTACCTCAACCTCCCAATTAGCCAGGCTTATTATAGATCCCAAGTCTATATCACCAGGTGTGCCTTAGCAACCAATTTCAAGAAAGCTGTTACTCTCTACCCTAAAGAACAGGCAACCCCATGGTAGCAAGTTACAAACCTGTTCTCCGATGTAATGCCCTTGAGTTCTTCCAGGATACACTGTACACTTGGCGAAAGTTTATTCCATACCTTAACAGCCTGAGGTAAATTCCTATATTTCTCCAGCACCTGACAGCAAAAAAGAGTCCAATCAGAAGTCTGACTTTGCCCAGCAACCCAACCCAAACCCCTCCAGGATCTCTTCTCATAGGACCTCAGCATTACCCTTAAGGGAGCAGGACCAAGTAGGCAGGAGTGGCCCACAGGTCCTTTACTGAGCCTCACAACTTCTTGATCGACCCAGGAACTAAAAACAACTAGATTTTCTCCTCCTACTCTCCGCTCTCCAAATCATCTGTGGCTCCCAATCATCAGATACTCTAATACTTAGGTGTCAAATGGGGACATTTGTTTTGCGATGAGCAGAGATCTCTGGGCCAAAAGGTAAGGAGCGAATAGGAGAAATGAGTTATGGGTGCAAGAGAATTGTTAAGACCCACATACTTACCTAACTCTCCCATTTACTCTATGTATAACCCTGAATCTATCCCTTTGATCATCCAAGGTTTAAATGTGTCTGAGAAAAAGGGACAATGACCTAAAGTAGTTTCTGAGCCTTTCTGTAAAAAGTACACCTTAACTCTCTCTGCTCTCGGGAAGCTTTTAAGCCCCACTTGTTGATCATCTGGAGAATCACAGGAGTAGACAACTACAGCCCATTCCCAGGTGTCTTTACCAGAGTAGATAGCCCAACAGCGTCATTATCTGCTTGTTCTCCTCCATTAGTTCACAGGATCATCTGATTAGACTGTCTCCTTCCTAGTCCCCACCCTCTCCAAGAAGTACCTTCATACTCTGCCACTTTTCTTCCAAATTCTGAGAAGTTCCCTCATGCTTTGTCACTTTCAAATTCTCTCCCCAGACTTCTCTCGCAGGTAGCTGGCAAGAGGAAAGAAATGTCTGGGCAAGGTGACAACATACCTCATCGAGGAAACTTACCGTAAACTGCTCTATTTCATAAGATAACAGCAATTTTCGGGCTTTTTCTGAAAAGAAAATGGAAAGAAGTTAGGGAAGGAAGCCTAAACCCCCATTCCCTCTGGGAATTTGAGCCTGTTGTACCTCAGTTTTTGAACTATAAACTGAAAAGTAACATTTCTTCCCCACTTACTTCACATAACTCAAAAAAGATACCCATTACATCATGCAAACTATCCCAAGAAGACAGTGTGTGGCAGTACTTTTTTTTTTTAATCCTGGGACATACCATAGCTCACAGAAAATACTCTATCAGGGAAATAAGCAGTACTCATCACAAGCTTGAGTGTTCCAGGCCCCTTCTTGCCCCATGAATACCTACCATACAACTCTTTATGTCTTGGGGTCGGTTCTGAATGAGAAGATACCTCTTCATTGCCATTATTGTTCGCTTCATCCTCAACATCCAACTCATCATTTTTGTCATCCTGAGGCTCTCGTTGCTCTTTTGTTACATCCTCAACAATAGTTTCACCTTCCTCTTCTTGAGGTTCTTCTGTTTCTGCCTGGTCCTCTTCCAACTCCCAGGTTACTTTCAGACTTTCCTCCAGTTGACAGCTCCAGTAGGTCTTTTTGAGCCAATCCATGACAAAGTGGCAAGCTAGAAGAAGTGAGGGGTGGAGGAGTTATGCCATGGGACAAACTATGGGCAAATAACTAGCAGGCCCCCAGCTCTCTGGGCCTCTCATTTTCTAAGAATAATGGTAAAGTCTAAGCAAGAGACTTGGCTCCAAGGCTCAAATCTCAAACATCTCCATATACCCTCTCTTGCTTTAGTCTGTTTTTTGTATTCTCCTGTTCACTGGTTTCTTTTTCAGAGGAGGGGAAGAAAACGAATGTTGGCCTTAGACATGGGTGCCAAGTAAAGCAACAGCTGGTAAATGGGTGAACTGAAACCTAGGTATACCAGCTATTTACAAGTCCTTAGCCACCTCTCTTCCCTTTTATAGATCTTAGTTTCCTGAATAGAAGGGGAGAGATTAAAACGAGGATTTTTTTTATCCCCCCTCGCCGTTTTTCTGTCTGTCTGTCTGTCTTGATTGTCTGTTTTTTCAAGAGAGGTTCGGTCTGTATAGCCCTGGCAGTCCTAGACTTGCTTTATAGACCAGGCTGGCCTAAAGCCCAGAGATCCTCCTGCCTCTGCTTCCCTGAGTGCTGGAATTAAAGGCCTGTACTTTCACAACCAGCTAAATCAGGGATTTTTTTTTTTATCAATATGGAATGAATATAAAGAGATTGCCTGAATTCAGGACACTATTATTTATACCTCTCACCTTAACCCTTCAGACTACTAAACTACCTACAGAGCAATTTATAATTTAAAAAATTCCCTATAATTGAAATAGCAAAAGGGACCAGAACACTGGGTCTATAGAGATGGCTCAGCAGTTAAAAGTTATTCTTGCACCTGACGAGAACCCAGGTTTTGATCCCAGCTCCCACAGCAGGTGGCTCACAACTGACTCTAACCCTTCCTTTGGAAGACGCAGCAGCCTCTCCTGGTCTCCATACACAAATAGGAAACACACACTCATGTACGTAAATAAAAATTATTGTGAATCTTAGAAAGGAACCTGAACGATACACTGCCAAGCCATATTCAACCTGAAACAAGGCAATATTAATTCTGATTTCATTATTCATTCTCTCCACATGGATTTTTGCATATAAAACCACTACATATTGTGATCACTAAGCTTCTGAAAGCCCCTTATACTACAGCCACAATGAGTCTATAACATATTTCATCCAGTCCTGACACTAGGTACAATCCTCCTCTCTGTCCCTCTTCCCCAAATGCCCCCCAGTCCAGGCCCACGTGCTTAACTGAAAGGTATCACATCCACAGACAAGTCACCTTTGCGGCAGTCATTTATATGGGGCATTTTCTTGTGGGTCAACTTGTGGCAAAGTTCAACAATCCAGTCCGGGATGTTCACCTGATTAGGGGTGGAGGATGAGTTTAGTTAGAAATGAGAAAATAATACAGCTTGCAGAAACTTAGGGATGAATCACCCTGGCAATCAATCCCCAGTGAAGAGTCCAGTCTTACTGATAGTCAAGATGAAATTCCAGGATTCCTGGATTGCTGTCATTAAA